CTTTTCTAAAAACTCGGCCTCATCATTTCGCACTCTTCATCAGAAGACTCGTCCCAGTCAAACTCCAGAACTGCTTCTATATCCGCTACACAAAGTCCTTTTCGTGGTTTGTTCATGTCTTCGACTTCAATGTTTTGCTACCACCGTGCCCAAAGTTGCTTACAAGCAACTTCAGTAAAGAAAAAAATATTGGCCTGCAACAATGCAACTTTTATTAAATATTTTATTATTTATCTTTTATTTCACTTCTGAGTGTTCAAATTGCGTACCTATCTTCTTAAATTATGATTTATAAGTATTTTTATTTATTTTTAACTTTTTGCACTAAAATTTCAGCACGCGCAATTCGCTCGTCTTCACACTGAATAAAGCACCATAGTTATGTTGATCGCAACACAACTGACACTTTTTTGTGTTTTTTTCTTATGAGAACTGCAATTCATCAATTCGATGCGTGTTTTGATGAGTTAGTTCCGTTTGTTTCAAATAAAATGGTGCTGAAAATCAAAGTTGCTTATAAGCAACTTTGGGGTCGAAAGGGTTAAGGAACGTATCTGAGTGCGGCTGTTAGAATCATAGTTAAGGAAAACTAAAATCACTTTGTATTCCTACATACCTTAACAAGTAGGTTCCATTCCCGTTTTTGATATACATATCTTTAAAGAAAACTCAGATATAGCTAGGAAATTTGAAATATTAAATCACGTTATTCACTTTGCGCACATTCAAAGGAAAAAGTGACGACTTTAAGAGTATATTGCAAGAAAATGGTAAATTTTTGGGAGAAAAATTTGATCACATGGTGATGTAGAATTTTATCTATTTTCATTTGGTACTAAACCCTTCTTTGTATTTTGAAATTCATGTTTTGAATTAATACGCAATATCGACATCAATTACTCCACTGTGCGTTGGTACCAGGCAATTAACCACATTTTATTTAAATTGGTTTTAAAATATTTTCAGTTTATTCTATTTGGATATATTTCATATTTGAACACTTCCACATAACTTTTCTAGTGTTTAAAATTCTGGTTATGCCACTCATGGTTATTAATCTAAAAACATCTTTGAGACACTGCCTTTCCGTTGCAAAAAGAATTATTGAAATCGGTTGACGTGGTGTAAAGTTATGCGGTAACATACATAAAAAAAAAAAAAATATTCCGACGAACTGATAACCTCCTCCTTTTTTGGAAGTCGTGTAAAAATAGCCAAAACTTACTAAAATGTCGAGTCCTAATTTCTATTTCAGTCACTGTATATATTCCTCGATTCGAATCACAGGCATTCAGATTAGAAAATAATAACTGTTTATGGAAAAAATTAGTATCATATATGTACCAAATCACTTAAAACTCGTTCCTAGGCATGCCATTTTAATGATCTGTTTAGGCTCAAAACACAGAATAGGGACAAATACAGGACATTAAAATAAATACAGAACATTTGGCGTTCCGTATAAAATAAATGAATTACCAGCACAATGGGTCAAAAAAGAGGACTGTCCCGTATAATACAGGACGGATGGTCACCGTATGTATAATTGAATTCATGAAATGGTGTTTTTAACCCAAATTCAAGAAATGAATTCGTGGATTAGCCTACGCATAAACGTAGTAATAGTCAACTGACCGGAATACTTAATTACATATCGTCGTTTAAAGTACAAAACCGCGTATCGCCATTCTGCAAAACCGCGTAACTGACATTTGCTGCCAAAAATTGAATTTGCTCACACAACGTCTTGGCTCAATCCTTATCCATTCGTCCTGAAATATACTAGCCAGGAATGCGATTGCTTTATAAAAAAGAGAACCAGTTGGAAATATTAGTGTTTTTACTCTCTAGTAAATAATTTATGCAACCTCACATACGCGGTTTTGTATTATCTTGATACGCGGGTTTGCTTTTTTTTGTTTAAACGACGATATGTAGATAACTACATAATTATATACTCTACGTAGCAAAAGTGCAAAAAGCGTACTTTGAACTTGTCATGAAAAATAAGCCGGATTCCTTAAACTCTGGACTTGGCGATGAAAATGATGGCCAGTGCAATGTTATTTTCGACGCTCATTTCTAAAGTGTCATTTCCGCACAAAAAATTTTTCGTAAGATTAAATAACATAACGTATTTTAATACAGTTTTATTTAAAATCAAAAACACGTCAAATATTGTAATGAAATTAATCAAATCTTGGAGCTTTTTTAGGTCGGCGAAAACCCTCCGGCTGAACTCTCCACGAGGGTGCCGACTGGTAATGGGCACTACAGTTTAGCTTCTGTACGATGTCAGAATGGTGTCCAGCTAAGATCAGGAATCAGTGCTATGTGCTTAAGCTCTTCAATAGCTTAGTTATATGGAAATGGTTTTTGATCGTGGCCTATGGAGGTAACTGAGGAGGAAACCTCTTGAAAAAAAACTCTGGGTTGGAACAAGGTGTTAGACGACCCGTGCTGATGTTCAGACTGGCTGGGAACCCAGACAAAAAACTATCCCAGTCTCGAACGGAGTTCTCCGGATACCTGGCGACCTCCGGTTCTATCAAGCCTTACCTAATTTTTATACGGATGGATCCAAGCTAGACAATAGGGTTGGCTACGGAGTTTTCTCCAAGGAACTAGGACTAGAATTATC